AAATACCTCTAGTAAGTTTGTGAAATAATTATTGTTAGCTAAATGCCAAGTAAAATAAAAGGAAATAGTGAATGAATCATATTACACCTAGAGATTCATTTAAAAAATATTTGTCTTTCTTAGGAGCTTAGAGAAATACTTTGGTCTGCCACTATTATTTTTTTCCCTCCACAAAGGGTTGCCTAAAGACAAATTTTGAAAGAACAAATTATTTATATATTTTCCACTGTATTGACAATCAAATTTGGATGGCATTGAAAAGTCAAGTTATATTTGAGGAATTATTGTTTCATTTCAACTTCAATTTATTGTTCTCCTTATCTCTGTCTTATTTATCTATCTGTTAAATAACTATTTAATATGCAATAATTTATATTAATCTCTATATTGAAGTCTGAGTATTATATATATTTATATATGATTGAGAATAAGTAAATGAAACAGAAGCTATATTTGCTGTTTCAATTAAAGGGGCTTTACAGACAATTATAAATCAGAGACATCCTGCAGGGGAGGAGCAGGGAGAGGGATCAGAGGGAGGGAGGGAGGAGCACAGGGGACTGAGGTGATGGTGCACAGGTGCATTGGTGAAGGAAATTCTGTGGGGACTACACCTGGCGGGGGGAGCAAATATTGTTTAAAAATGAACAATGATGCAAAAAAATAAAATTAATATATCAATTAAAGGGGTTTTATTAAAGAAATTGAGGAGATCTGATGTAGAAAAGTGTGTGCAATTATAAATGTACTGGAAGTTTTAGATGCTAATTATTGAGTATAAAAACAAAATAATCTTGATTGGTCAAATGATTGAAGTTAGATTTATCAGGTACACTTATGGAACCAGATATCGGATTCACTGACATGAATTTCAAAGAAGCTACAAAGCCATATCTTCCATAGAGTAAAAATAAAAACACTGAAAATAACCAAATATTTCCATATTAAGCAAACAATTTATTAGACAAAAGCAAACTACAAATTTTCTTTTGCTAGAAAGATGACATCATGGGGCTTCCCTGATGGCTCAAGAGGTTTAGATGCAATCTATGAAGCTTACTGCAGCCACTGCAGCACGAATTCCATCCCCCACCAGGGAGCAACCCACATGGAACAGCAGACCTCTCCTGTCTCACCCGCTGCTCCCCTCAGCAGTGTATTTCAGTCAATCCACCTGTTCTGCTCCCCACTCTGTCTCTGGTGAATCCTGTCACCCACCACACCTCTGGCCTATATGCATAAATAAATAAGTTCTTGGATGCATAAATAAATAAATCATTTAAAAAAAAAAGAAAGATGACATCATGGTAAAATAGTGAAAAGAAAATAAATAAAAATAAGAAAATCAACTGGAATGGTTATATACATTGAATATGTATTGAGATGGCAAGTTGTGAAGTAAAAAGGAATCAAATACTCATAGACACAGTTTAGCATTGATAAATAGCTATCAATTTATTTTAGAGAACATCAAATGGATGTTTGAGGAGTGAAAGCACGAGATAGAACCAAACATGCTGGAGATTTCCCCTCCACTTATAATTTCAGCAGTTTTCAGTAGGAGCCGGAGAATCCATACCCTCCACAGCAGCATGGGCGGCAGCACCCATATCCGTAGCCCCCATAGCCAGAGCCATATCCATAACCCCCAAAGCCAGAGCCATAGCCTCCATAACCACCATAACCTCTGTAGCCTCCATAACCCCCAAAGCCTCCATAGCCTCCACAGCCCCATCTGCGGAAGCTGCCACAGCCACAGCCACAGCCCAGGCCACCAAAGCCTCCGTAGCCGTAGCCGCGGCCTCCATAGTAGCTTCCGTAGTAGCTCATGGTGTCAGGAGTGGGGAGTTGTTTGCTGTTCAAGGCAAGAATCAGACTGTGACTATCGACTCCTACAGGGAGGTTTATATACATGGCTCAGAGAACATGCTACCACACGTGTCCTCCTGGGGTGTCACGTTTCAAGGGAATTATCCTCCCTTGAAACAACTCATTAGTCTGTTGTCCTCTGACAACCCTCACAAAGAATGTTGGAACTTGCTTGGCTACCTAGTCAAGTTGCTCCTGAGTATGTTGCTTAAATTTTCTGAGAAGAAATTGTTTCTTCAAAGCATTGACATAATAACCCTCAATATAATTCTTCATTGCCAGTCAGTAAACATCAGTCGCATAAATACTGTTGGTTTTCTGATGAAATACCTTATCATAGGAATTTTGGGGAGTCATCACACAATTGATTCTACAAGATATCAAGGAACAAAGTTGAGACATCAATTTCTTCAAAAAGAAACATGAGGAACAAAGTTGTGTGAGAACAAGTTGTGTGGAGAAGTCTTGGTTCACCTGCTGTGCATACCCGAAGAAACAAAACTTACTTGGTTTTGAGAGCACAATTCATTGACTGATCCTCGACTTTGCATACCACCATTCTTGTTTTGGTTATAATAAGTGAAATTAGTTAGAAGGGGAAAGATAAGTTGGTATTCCTTATATACAGAATATAGAGAAACCCAACAAGGGCTGAGATAAAGCCAAACCTCAAATCTAGGTCTTGAATGCAGACTACAGAACTGAGACATCCAGGGGAGGGTGCAGGGAAGGATTAAGACTGAGTGGAGATTTCTGGACCTACTAAACATAGAGCTTCCATATGATCCAGTAATTCCACTCCTAGGTATTTACCCAAAGGACACAGAAACATCAATTCCAAAGAGTACCTGTACCCCTATGTTTATAGCAGCACTGTTTACAATAGCTAAGCTTTGGAAACAGCCCAAATGCCCAAAAATAGATGACTGGATCAAGAAGATGTGGTAAATATACACCATGGAATATTACTCAGCCATGAATATTACTCAAAAAAAGATAAACACATGCAGTTTGCAGCAACATGGATGGAGCTGGAAGGGATCATGCTCAGCGAAATAAGCCAGACAGAAAAAGAAAAATACCAGATGGTCTCACTCATAGCAGGAATCTAGAAAACCTAAATAAGGGACCAGGAAAAAGAATAACTATAAGAAAGAAAATATCAAAACCAACAAACAACTATGAACCAGAGACACTCTATGGGGGGGGGGGCGGGGAAAGGAGGGATTGGGGTCAAAATAAGGGGGTTGTAATTGTATGGGGAATATAAAAAATAAAATTTAAATAAAATGTGAAAAAAATAAAATAAAAGAGAGTACAAGAATGTTACCAGGATTATTAAAAAAAAAAAGACTTAGTGGGGAGGAGTACAGTGGAAGATGATGGTGGACTATGGGTTCTTTGGTGGTGTTGCACTATGCTTATAACACCTGAATGGGGGGATCCTGTACTCCCAAAATACAAACAATAATCTAAGCCAACATTACCTCAATACAGAAAAACAAATGAAAATATAGCACATATTTTTCATAAATGAAAAATTGGAATCAGAGACTAAAAGTGATCAGAACTCCTGAGAAGACTTCTCACAGTTCATTTTCTTATCCTGGATCTCACAGCTACTACAAATGCACTTATACTCACCTCCATACTCTATTCCCCCTCCTCTACCTTTTATCATCTATCCATAAATCGTACATCTTCTTTCAAGTGTCCCTTAAAACATCACCCAGTGTCCTTCCTCCATGATTCATCACTGCAACCAGATAAATGTCTGAAGCAGCATAAATTCAAGATAGTACTGCATTCCTTCCAACTGCATCTCCACAGTCAAAATAACACAGTTGCCCATATCATTTTCTTTGTCTAAATGTTACTCATTTTTTAATTTCAGACTATTTTTTTAAATTTTATTTTATATATTTTACATCATTTTCATTTTTGCACAATGTATGCATTTTCCTCTTGGTTATAGTCCCCCTACAATTCCCACCCGCCTTGTTTTGACCTTACTCCCTCCTTTTTTATTTCAGACTATTTTTAATTAGACTTTATTAAGAAATGAAGTAGATCTTTATAAGATTTTGATAATATTGTTACTTGTTGAAAACATATTCCATGGGGCCTCCCTGGTGACACAGAGTTTAAAGACAGAGCTATTCAAGCTATTGCCAGCCACTGCAGCACAAGTTTGATTCCTCAGCCAGCCAGGGGGGTGACCCACATGGCACAGCAGACCTCTCCTGGCTCACCCGCTGCTTCCCACAGCAGTGTATTTCAGTGAATCTGCTTGTTCTGCTCCCCACTCTATCTCTGGTGAATCCTCTCACCCCGCACCTCTGGCCTGTACCCCAGTTCTTGTATGCATAAATAAATAAATCATTAAAAAAAAGAAAACATATTCCAACTCCTAAAATCACCTGACATTTTTAAGAGTTACAATTGCAGATAGTTACGAAACTCATATGGGTGTGTATATGCATGCATGAGCACACACACACACACACACACACATTATTAAAGTGGTTGGTTTCCAAAGTGGCATATGATTCAGAAATATAGGGTCACACATTTCAGGTGTATGTCACCACACTACACCCAACACCAAGGCACCCACAGTGTTCCACGGTAGTCCTTTGTGACCTCCCTCTTCCTCTTCATTAGCCCCAGTTTTACAGTCAGATTTCTGTCAAAATCAACCTGAGATTTATGTAAGTAAAATAGAAAAAAATATATATTCTATTGTTCTGAACTACTCATTCTCAAATGAGATTTGTTTCCCTATATTTTAATATAGATGCACATATGCATAAATCATTGTATGCATTGTATTTCTAATTGAAAAACAGTAAAATTTGCATAAGTATGTATACATAACTGAGTGAAATGAACCACAAAAAGTCATATTTTCAATTTCAAATTATGTCATTTATTGGAAATTCAGCAGTACATCATCTATTAGTGCCCAAGAAACGAGGGGAGGCAATGCATACAAGCTGATAAATATGTAGTCTCTGAAATTCTTAGATCTGTCTTGCTAAATGGACCAAGAGTAATCTCAGTCCATTGGTGGAAGAATGTTTTTGGTCATTTCATTAATGGCACAGATGTGGGGATCCTGGTACAGTAGTTTAGTAGAAGCTGGAGAATCCATATCCGTAGCCCCCATAGCCAGAGCCATAGCCTCCATAACCCCCAAAACCAGAGCCATAGCCTCCATAACCCCCAAAGCCAGAGCCATAGCCTCCATAACCCCCAAAGCCAGAGCCATAGCCTCCATAACCCCCAAAGCCAGAGCCATAACCTCCGTAGCCTCCATAGCCACAGCCACAGCCCCATCTGCGGAAGCTGCCACAGCCACAGCCACAGCCACAGCCAAGGCCACCGAAGCCTCCGTAGCCGTAGCCCCGGCCTCCATAGTAGTTGCCGTAGTAGCTCATGGTGTCAGGAATTGAAAACTTGATTTGCAATCAAAGGTTTGTGTCCTGAATATAAATCTCAGCTCAAGTACAGAGGTTTTTATACCCAAAATAATGGGTGTGGTAAACCACCCAGACCTCCCTCATTATCATTCCTCAGAAAAATTTCTTGAGACAAATAGTATTGGTTCTTTTGCTTTGTTTACTATGCATGAAATAATCTTCATCTCAGTAAAGCTTTTAAATTGATTTTAGCTCAATTAGAATTCTCTGATTATGTCTATAATGAGAAATATTATTTGCAACTTCAAAGACCAGACATCAGCATTCATATAACCACCACCTCCTTTAGGCTCATCAGAATGGAAATAGACAATCATGTGCTGGCACCCAAGATCTGATGACATTCCTTTGCTCCACTTACGCTTTGTCTCTGTTTCCCATAATGACTACCTACCATTACTTGAGGTATGCAGAGCACTAATGTTGCTCTTATAGCCATGCTTCATTTGAACCATATTCACTTGAGATATCAAATATCTAAAAAATTTGAGATACAAACAACTTCTACTTGACTATTGTGTACTCGAGGCCAACGTGGTAGTGATCTTGCTAAGTGTCTCTCATATTTCCTCTAGCTCAGATTTATTTTTAAATTTTTAACAGATAATACTTGAAATCTTGATATTTCCTTTAAAAAAATAATAACTGAAACTTTAGGAGAACAAATAAATATTGTATGTTCCCTGTATTTGAGCCTATTCAAAATCAATAATGCCCCAATAAAATAAATGATGGCATTCCTTACAATGATCATGACCTCAAAAAATTCAAGAATTCTGTCTGATAATTTAGAAGTGGTTTCTGAGGTCCATGAGTATGATAATGCTGGAAAGATAGAAATAGCTCTATTGATGTTCTTGTACAGGATTAGGTAGATGAATAAAAATGTAGAGAACTGGAGTCAGTGAGTTTTCTGAGGTTAATCTAGACATATGTTTGAAATTGTGAAATTTGAAAAAATTAGACATTATTAAAACCCATCACCACCAAAGGTTGAGCAAGTTAAATAAAAATGTTACGGCTTTGCATATAAAATGTTTGTAATATTAATGGGGTGTTTGATATTTCACTGCCAAGTATTTTATTTTTGGGAACCTGTTACTTAATGAGTAGAGACATATTTGAAGTTCTTTTGAGGAAGGCTTAATTACCACATGATTCAAGATTATTATTATATTTTAGAAAGTCACAAGATAGGTCATTATTTCATTCTATATTCACAAGTCTGAACTATTGAACTATCTCAGTATTATGTATATTGATCAATCAATCAAAACATTGGTATTAGCTACACCCTATTCAGAACTAATGCAGTTGAAATAAATTTGCCTGATTTTCAAAATGCCCTGTTAATACCAAATGTGCTGCGCTGATCTCCATACTGAAATACAATACATGGAAAAAGTTAACAAATCCCTCAAAATAAAACTTTCAGTAACACTGACACAAGAAGAAATAAAAAGATTACTTTTCATGAGGAAATTAAATTTGTATTAAAAAAGCAGAGTTCTAACAAAGACAAGTCCAGGTCTGAATAGTTTAATGATTAATTTTAGCAATTACTTAAGGAAGAAATAAGACTAATTTTACACTGATTCTTTTAGAAAATAAACTCAATCTAAAAATCCAGATAAACGTACACACATACATTAAAATATATAAAATATATGCATAATATAACAATCACATATATATTATATATACATAATATGTATGTATAGATGTACACATAATATCCTCACTAATTGAAAGTTTTTCTTTCTAGGATTTCAGTTATCTGCAATCAACCACGATTTAGATTACTTAAGATTTACATAAAATTAAGTATCAGGTTAACTTAAAAATGTTTAGTGTGATTTTTAATTCAATGTCCAATATAATGTCTCAATTGCAATTATATCATTATTATAGATTTCTAAGAGTACAAGTATAAGGTTTTGGTACATAGTGGCATACTTACAGAGATTTTGTTACATGTTTAACTTAAAGCAATAAAAATGGAAATAGCAAAGCTTTGGAGACAGAAAATCAGTCCCCCAAAGTTCTGAACAATAAGCAGATGATTTTTTTCCTCACCCTATACAAATAACTTATGAACAACTAGTCAAGTAAAAATATTTAACAGGGTTTATCTGATAGAACAGGTAGACTCTTCAGTTCATTGGTTCAATATGAAACTCTCACATAGATGTGTGATATCCATTTTCCTTATGTGATTCAGAATACTACAGATATAACAATACTGTGAATGTAAACAGCAGCTAAGTGGTCAAATAAATTAAATTTATAATCAGACTATTTATAACCATAACCTCAGCCCAGGGATTTTAGCACCCAAAATCATTGCCATAAATCAGAGTTCCCATCAATATAAATTTTTATTAAGAACTCAAAAAGCCATCTAAGCCATATTTACTGTCAAGTAAGTACGTTCAGTGATGAGTGATAAGGCTTGGGGCTGGAAGTCTAACTCACAAATACCAAATGGGGAAGAAGAGCAGACTAGGCAAGACCAACAGTCTCTCTTTCTCAAACTAAATCTAAGATATTTGTTTTTCACTGATTTAATAATAGGAATAAATGGTATCCTCAGGAAGGGAAATATTTCCCTTCATTTCAGATATCAGAAAACAGGAAACTTATTAAGATAAATGACTAAAGTTAACACCATATTGTTATGCCATATTAGACACATTTATTGGAAAATGATTATAGATATTGCTGCCAATATAAAATACACTAAAGAAATTTCAGATGACAAATTAGTATCTGGAGAGTGAAAGAAGTAGCTGTTGTAGAAAAATATCCAATATTTATGGAATAAGTCAAAATTGCTATTGAACAGCTGTACATTTACAGACAGCTCTTAAATCTTATGCCAACAAGCTTGTAAATCTGTAATTTATCTTCCTTGCTTGTTATGAGCTGGAAATAGATTTAACAGAGGAAACATCTGAAAAGTTGGATTTTGTTGTTGGGATAATTCCCAAGAGTCTTAAGTCCTACAATTTAGTAGAAACCAGAGTTCCAATAATGTCCATAACAACTGGATGGCAGATTTATATCCACAAGCCCCATACCCAGTGTCACATCCATACTTTGTTCTTACAAGTCCCCACATCCACAGGTGTAGTAATAGCCCTGGCCACTGTATCCAGAGTCCATGCCTTCTAGGTAGTTCTCAGCTGGCTTATTGTATAAATTGTTGAGGTTTGATGATTAAAGATATTTAAGCATCTTCGGTGGTGTGACAAGCCTTAGGTACTCTATGTAAAATATTTATACCAAATAATACACACAATACATTTCATTATGTATGGGAAAACCTCAGTAATTTGCTTTCCCTTATGTAAGAGAGCCTCAATTCTATTAAAACAAGGCTTGCTTTGGTGGATCCATCAATATTTCCTAATTAGTAGTATTAAGTTTTAATTCTGTTCTACCATAAATTCATCTTCAGTATAGATTTCGTACTTACTGTGTCTGCAAGGGCCACATGATATCAATCATGTTTTTAAATAATATTGTATTTCTTTCTTGACATCTTTAGTAAGTCTCAAAAGCAAGTGGAAAGAATACCAGCCCTCTGTAATCCTGAGTTCATGCTTCAGGGATATTTTGTGCTAAACCACTGAATTATTTTATCATTTCTCTTTTAAAGAAAAACATATAGTTCCATTTAAACACCTATTTCAAAGTCTATCTCTAGATTTTCTCCACCAGTGATTATATCTTGTTTTGCTGTAGATACTTGGTGACAGGTCAGACTTTAATACTTCTAGATAGAGTCCATGTAAGATTTGTTTTTATCTCCATCAAATATATAGCACATTAAATCTATGTTCAACAATTCTTATTGAATCAATGTACCTTCCTTTGATCAATTACACACAAAATCTCTGCCAACTTGGCAGTCAGTGCATTTGGCATTCTTATAGGCAAAGAGATTCTCCTTTTCACCCATAAATTCACTAAGGACACATTTTTTTAAGTGTTCACAATTATTTACTTATTTATTAATTTGCTATAATATTGGATTACAATTTTATATATGATGTAGAGTATAGTACCTCCCTGTTCAGGTTTTTTACCACATCACACCCACCACCAAAACACGATAGCCCTCCACTCTAGTCCATTGTGCTCCCTCTCCACTTGGCTCTCTCTGCTTTCCTTACTCCTTTGGTGGCCTTCTTTCTATAGTCAGAACTCTAGGATTTGCTACTGGTTTGGTTTTATCTGAATCTTGTTTTCCTATATTCTACAGATAAGTGATACCTTCCAGCATTTGTCTTTCTCCTGATTTACTTTGGTTAACACACTCACCTCCAGTTCCAATCATGTTGTCATAAGTGACAAGAGTCTGTCTTTTTTTTTACAGTTGAGTAGTATTCCTTTGTGTGTGTGTGTGTGTGTGTGTGTATATATATATATATATATATATATATATGTATATATACCACATCTTCCTGATAAATTCCACTTTTGTAAAGATAAACTTCATATCCAAGTTTTCTAAGAGTGGTAGGTCTCCATCCAAACTCAAGAGTTTCTCTCCTTTTTCTGGCTCTTTAAAACTCAATTTAATAGGAAAAAATTGTAAAAGAATGTTTTGCTGAAGTTGCTAAGACAGGTCTCCCTGGTATCACAAGGGTTAAATACAGCACTATCAAGCTACTGGGAGCCACTGTGCTGAGTTTGGTCCTCAGCCGCCCAGGGAGCAACCCACATGGCAAATCAGACTCTCCTGTCCCACCCCTGTTTCCCTCAGCAGTGTATTTCAGTACATCTGCCTGTTCTGCTCCCCACTCTCTCTGATGAATCCTCTCACCCCCACACTCTGCTGGCCAGTTCTTATATGCATAAATAAAATAAATCTTTTAAAAAAAGAATAATGCACTCTTATAAACAAGTAATAAAGTTGCTAAGACTATACTAAAATGAAATTCTTTTAGTGT